TGCGATTTCAAAGCAATAGTTATTTCGATATTATTCAATTTAGATAGTCATAGCAGGTAAATTAATTGATATTATTGTGTTCAAATTTAGTCTACGAAATATCGATATTTTGGAATTTCCGATATCGATATTATCGATATCAGTGAATTTTAAATATCGATATAAATATCGATATTTTGGTCTCGATATTCCGATATATCGTTGCAACCCTACTTCCAATGTTAATTCAACTACTACTACTACTATTACGTATACTATTCGTAAGTGGAATTCTTTACCTGCGCACGTGTTCCCTCCTTCCTATAATCTGAGGTCCTTTAAGAAAGGCATGAAGAAGCATTTTTGCAGGCCGGCAAGGTGAGGATGATTGGTGTAGCAGTTTATAACTGCTTTACCAGCTATCTTTGCGTTTGGACTTTATCACCACTTAACATCAGGTGGGGTAGAGTCTTTTGCCTACCTAGTTATATTTAACTGTGTCATGTTATAGCAACTTTAAGGTTCGGCCAGCGGCCCCACAACAAAAGATTAAAAAAAATTGTTTGTCTGAAAAGTCGGTTTACGGACGATAGTTTTACGTGATAACGTCATAAAGAAACATTGATGAAAAATTGCATAATTGCTCTAGCTCTAACGTCACGCGAGAAGAGATATAAGTTAGACTTTCAACGAATATTCAGTTACTATTCGGTATTCGGCCTATTCGGCTGCTTTTATTGTATTCGGCCAAATACCGAATATCTACATATTATTCGGCCGAATACCGAATACTTAAAAAATATATTTTGTTATAGAAAAATATTTGGTAAAATGAACAATTAAAATCAATTGATTACGTATATATCCATATTTTCATTTCTGTTATATAATCATTTAAGTAGTCATTGGTACATAACACAGGTACATAATCATCTTCTGAATTGGAAAAATGGAGGATTCTATGTATTTGAATTATTGTGGTAATCAAAATTTAGAAGGGTAAGGTTCTCATTTCTTTTATAATCATTTATTAAGTAGTCATTGGTACATAAAACAGGTACATAATTTAATCATTTTCTCTATTAAACAAGTTAACGGTTTTTTATTCATTCAGTCATGTGATGAATGGTTACATAATAGCAATAATTTAAAATTTACGCGCGTTTTTGGCCACATCTCAAAAGTTGGTTTTGTCATTTAGCCGCATTTTAGCTTGAGGACGGCAGATTAGAACAAAACAAAGGAGCGCGAAACAAGTCTGTACAAGTTTTTGGCGCTAAAATCCAGCCGAATACTTTTGGCTATTCGGTCAGGGGCCTCGCCGAATATTCGGTATTCGGTATACTGCCGAATATACTATTCGTTGCAAGTCTAATATAAATGTGTACAAGCCGACGCTTGGGCCGATCGTGCCTCTCTATCGCTTGTTCCGCGCTCTCGCTTGCACGCTCAGGCTCAGGCGGAACGTGACAATATTTCGTGCATGCAGCCGGTGTTCATCATAAATCGTTATCACGTCGATAACATAAGTAGGCAGATTGTTATTTGAGGAACGGACGCATTGCCTATTTCTTTCATTTCCGTTTAACCCACTACAATTGGAGGACCGACAAATCCATGGATGAATATCGTAAACACTCGCAATCTTAGCAAGATTGAAAAATTTAATCTGTACAAAAAGCAATTTTATTACCAAAAAACTGTAATGCGATGCTCAAGCGGCTACCTTCAGGCTGGCCAAGATTTGTGGGCCGTCTTTAACAATTCGTTTCAATTCCAAATTCAAAGTTCGTATCAGCGAAAATTTAAAAACGTCTTCGGACGGAATCCTACTAGGCGCTAATACACTTCTGGACACATCTATTGGCCCACCTTGTATTTTCAGTTTCGTTTGGTCCTAGCTAAAATTTTATATTAGGTCGAGCAAAAAGTTTTTATGCAGTTTTGAACCTGGCACATTCACAATTTCATTCAATAGTCTTTTTTTGAATTTCGAACACAGAATTTAAAGAAACAAACGACAATTTGGAGCCTGTTTGTTGATATCAAACAATCGAATACTAAGAAAACTTGGTTTTATTGGTTTACTTGGATTTAATTCTTGAAAAAGTGATTGATATCTTTGGTTTTGCAACAAACATTACTTATTCTTAACATTAAGGTGAGGTTCTATCAATAATCTATGGATACTTCACCTGAAGTCGCCGCCCAAGCTGTGCACTTATTCAGGCCGGACACAGCCAAAGAAACGTGAGTGCTCAGCTTAATTTAAGTCGATCTGCGGTCCGAAATGTTTATCGGAGGTACCTAGAGACTGGCGGCTTTGTTCGTCGCCAAGGAAGGCCACGATCTCGGGTCACACCTGAAAGGCAGGATCGATTCATCGTGACGACCAGCTTGAGAAATCGTCACCTTACCTCCATTGAGATACAAAAACAAATTCGCGACTTCCACGGAGTATCTGTGAGCGCTCGAACTGTTCGGAGAAGGTTAAAAGAACGCGATATGGTACCACACAAGCCAGCTAATGGGCCCAAACTAACGCGAGCCCACCGAACAGCGCGCCTTCATTTCGCACGCAGTCATTTAAATTGGACACAGCAAGATTGGAGCCGTGTACTCTTTTCTGATGAGTCTAAAATTGTGTTACATGGCAATGATGGAAGGAAGAAGGTCTACCGACGTAAGGGAGAGCGTTTCGCACAATGCTGCTTTGAAGAGAGGGTTGCTTATGGCGGTGGCTCATGGACTGTCTGGGGCGGTATATCCGCGAGCGGCAAAACTCAACTTCAGGTTGTTACAGGACCACGGCTGCCAACATTAAATGCTAAAAGGTACATTCGTGAGTGTTTAGAACCTCACGTGATACCATACGCGGACTATGTGGGCCCAAATTTCCTTTTTATGCATGATAATGCAAGAGCCCATGCGGCCGGCATCGTCAGGGAATATCTTCGGGATTTGAACATCACAGTTATGGACTGGCCAACCAGAAGCCCAGACATGAACCCCATTGAGCACATGTGGGACGAGCTAAAAAGACGTGTTAGGGCTCGTCAGCCAGTTGCCCAGACGATGCAGGAGTTGAAAACTGCCATAGAAGAGGAATGGGAGATGATCCCTCAAAATTTCATAGAGCGGTTGATAAACTCTATGCCTAATCGTATGAGAGCTGTGGTAGATGCCCATGGAGGCAACACGCGTTATTAAATTAAACCTTTATTTGATAAAACATGTTTTTTATTCAAAAATCAATTGCCTTTAACAAGGCGCATATCCGACTTGTTAGGCGTAGCTCCATGTCGTTTGGTATTCTGAATTCGAATTTAAAACAATACGATCGAAAAAGATGGTAAAATGTATCAGGTTTAAAACTGCATCAACAGTTTTTGTTCAATCTAGCAATCATATTTCGGTAGGGGCCATCGAAACCTAAACTCTAAGGTGGGCCAATAGATGTGTCCAGAAGTGTATTATAATAAGTGTGAAAGTTTGTATGTTTTTACTCAACCAAGCAAAAAACTACAGAATGGATTTAGGTGAAATTTGATACACATATAGTTTATGACCTAGATTGAGAGACAGGAAACTTTTCATCCTGGAACATTGACAGGTTTCTGTGGGCTTCTGAAAAAAAAACTAATGTAAACGCGGGTGAAGTCGCGGGCGGCCACTAGTCATTTCAAATATTCAAATGAATTAGCAATGCAGGCGGCCATGTTGATGGTGCGAGTTTGTGTTTTTTTTTTCTCAGTCTGCTCAGTAATTATTAAGCCAATTCTCGCACACGTAACTCTTTAGGTATCGTTCATTGAACCCGCGCCGGTTCGACATTGAAACTCAGTGAGCGTAAGTTTTTTTAAGTAAAGCAATTCTACTTCTAGTATAATGTTGTATCAGACTCAGACTTGTTTGTTTTTTTTGGAAGCACCTGAGTCTATGCTGTTGTAATGTTAGAAACTTGAAACATTTATCTGTCGCTTGTGTCCTTATTGTCATTTTTGTAAAGCCAGCTTCTTGTCCATTTGAATCCGATAAGACTTGTAATATTAACTTGAAAGAAAGAAAAAGTATTTATTGGCCATACACGCAAATACATAATATGTAGAAAAAAATGAGCAAAAAAACAAGAAAAATAATCAAAACAGAGAAATTCAAAAGAGAAAGAAGAATGGCCAATCGGGACCCTGCCTCAGCTTAATGCTGTTATCGTGGGAACGAATATTCCCACCATAACAGCGCTGGTATTCTTGTCACTTGATTGCCCGTGTAAAGAAAATTTTACTAGAAAAGGTTCACTCCGTCCAGGTTTCAGACGGGATTCGAACCCGCGTCTTCCGCTATGCGGGCGGTCTAACCAAGCTAACTAACTAGCGTTAGATCCGGGTTCGAGTCTTGCGGTGGAAGCAGGAGCAAGAGGTATACCAGCAAAATCTCTCTATAAGATCTTGGCCGTTCTTATGAACTGCGGTAAGTTCAATTTTGGAACGAGTAACTATGGCTGCACTAACAGGCTCCTATCAAATTTGGCTAGGAAGGGCGGGCAACTCGAGCAGTGAAGGTGAGCGTTGATGCGCATCTTCATTTCATTCATTCATTCATTCATCTCAAATGGGGCCTCCTTAAACCTACACCTAGCTCGCAAGTCCCGGGAACTGCTCAGAGTTTCGCTCCCCACACGACGGACCCACGGTGAATCCATACATAACTAAGGATTTCGTCTTCTGTATCTATAAAATAGTCTTACTAAAAGTCTACAAGATGGATGGACTGGCTCGATGTCTCTCAGCGGTTAGCACGCTCGGTCTGTAATAAAGGGAGTTAAGCAATCTTTGTAATGACCGGTTTTAGGATGGCTTACCAAAAATGTTTCGTCCCAAACTCGTGAGTTCCGGCTGTATCTGAAACCGTTAGCGCCCATCAATCCGCACTGTTAATAATTGGTAATGCATTCGTAAAAGCCTGTGCGCCATCATTAAAAAACTGATGATGACCACTGAAACCAAACATTCTCTTTCCAGGTCTCCCGACTACACCAAGGGTGTGTTTCAAACATTGGGCTTCAAAGAGTTCCATGACTACTTAATGCTTACAGAAGAAGAAAGAAACAGCGAAGAGGGGAAGAAACTTCTAGAAGTGAGCATCGAGAACATGAGGATCGGCACACGGAGATACGCCAGGAGGCAAAATAAAATGATCAGGGGGAGATTTCTGGAACATCCCTCGAGAGAGGTATACAATACATACAATAAGAAAAGATTGTAATAAGAAATATTTTCAATATCAGATAAAATAAAATCCCTTCTCGTTTGATGTTCACAAACGGCCTTCGGTTTTGGAACCAGTTGTGATAGAATATTTTTTATTCTTAATACACAACCAGTTGTCAATTGGTTGCAAAACACGGTTGCGATGGAGGCCGAAAGCCAACAACGTGGTTTCTGGTGTCTGTGATACCATAAAAATAAGAACCAACCAGGCCCGAAACAATAATTATAGGTATAGTTCATGTACGAGGTAACGTCAGAATTGTCCACTATTAATTTTATCAAATAGTAGAAGACATCTTAAATATACAAAAAAAAAGTTAAATTTTATACCTACTAAGTACAACACGATCGACGGCCCAAAAAATCAGGGTACATGTATATATTTGTATTTGAAATACCTACACCTATTTACAAAATATATCTTAATATATATAAATCTCGTGTCACAATGTTTGTCCTCAATGGACTCCTAAACCACTGAACCGATTATAATAAAATTCGCACACCATGTGCAGTTCGATCCAACTTGAGAGATAGGATAGTTTAAATCTCAAATTATAGTCGCAATTTTAATTTATTGCAAATTATAATTTTTATTATTTTTAAAGCATGTAACTGCTTGATGTTTAAATCTAAAGATTAAGGTCCGTGAGGGCCGCGGTAGCATAATTGGTCAGTGCATTCGCCCGGATTGCGAAGGGTGCGGGTTCGAGTCCCGTCTGCTGCCTGGTCCGCGTGGAATTTTTTCTAGTTATATTTTCTTTAGATTTAAACATCAAGCAGTTACATGCTTTAAAAATAATAAAAATTATAACTATAATTGCTATTTCTTCTTTCAAATGTTTAATACTTGTAAAAGTATTCATTTGACATTGTGGGTTTACCTATAATGCGAAGAGATGGCGCTGCCTTGCAGCTTAAGAATAGCTAGAAAGAATTTCGACGCGGTCCGTGAGGGCCGCGGTAGCATAATTGGTCAGTGCATTCGCCCGGATTGCGAAGGGTGCGGGTTCGAGTCCCGTCTGCTGCCTGGTCCGCGTGGAATTTTTTCTAGTTATATTTTCTTTAGATTTATTGCAAATTATTACTTTTGGGCGGTACGAAGTCCGCCGAGTCAGCTAGTTATATTATAAAAACATATTTACAATAAAACTTAACCCCCAATTCGGCACAAACTCTACTTCTAAGCTTCCATAACACCGAAATGGTATTTCGTTTTATGTTGCCAAAGAAGTAATTAACAAAGTACCTTGAAGTAGGTAGGATACACAAGAAATGAATTAAAATTTTAAAAAACTTTTTACGACTTGGCGAAACATAGGATAATCTAACATAGGATAATCTATCTTATGTTTAATTAAAAATTAATCCCTATTACCCTTGGTCACGCCAATATTTCAGATCGACTGTAACGATTTCATTATTTTTTTTAAGCTTTCTAATACTATGTGGGAGGTTCTTACTAAAAAAGGAATTTGGAAAGTGGCGTTATAATTTAAGACAATTTAGGAAAACATAATTTAGCTTACAACCTTAATAAATATATTTTTAATTAAAAATAAACTAATACAAGTACATACAGTACCCCTAGCACGAACCATTATCGAATTCGGATAGTTTGCAAACCGAAATGTCAATGTCAAATTTTGTGTGGAAACTTGAACAGCAGCGGCACAAAGTACGTAACGAGAACTAACAACCAGTACCCTTAGCAGGGGCCAATATCGAAATCGTAACGTTTGCGAGTCCGAAATATCATTGTCAAATGTGTACCGATTTTTAGTTCTCATTACGTACGTTATGGCGCTAATGTTCAAGTTTTCATACAAAATTTGACAATGACATTTCGGACTCGCATACTATTCGAATTCGATAATGGTTCGTGCTAGGAGTACCTACTGTACAGATTTGAAAGTGACATTTCGAACTCGCAAACGTTACCAATTCGATATTGGTTCGTGCTAAGGGTACAGGGGGCCATTCGCCTAACGGAATTGCTTTGGAAAACGCTATCGCTTACTATTTCATTTTGTTATTTCTGACCTCAGAAGGTTTTCAATTACCTCACGCTCATTTTCTTTAATATTGTTATTAACAATGCAATAGAAAAAAAAGAGCGCGAGGCAGTTGAAAACCTCAGGTGGCTAGAAATAACAAAATGAAATCGTAAGCGATAGCGTTTTCCAAAGCAATTAGGCGATTGGCCCCCAGATCAGAATTGGTGAAATGTACTTATATCTGTACAGCGCCATCTAGTGTCGAGTAGCATTAATACGTTCTAGGACAGTATGTAAGGATATAAACTTTTCTATATTGATCCGCCAGATGTCACTAAATATCCTGTTTATTTTAGCTCCCTGCTATTTACGAGTTGGACACCACGGACTTGACCAAATGGAATGAAGAAGTTAAAAAAAAAGCTGTTCACATCATAGACAGCTACATAAAGGGAATAGCTTGCGATTTCGAACCTTTAAAATGCACTGTTGACGAAGAAAAGAAGAACATTGACGGGAATTCGAGGAACTATTGTGAAGTGTGCAACAGACTTATTTTAGGAGACAGGACTTATGAAATCCATTTACAATCTAACAGACATAAGAAAGTTTTAAAATTGAAAAAGAAATTAGAGGAAAAATAAATTAAAAGAATTCAGTGAATATTAATCATTATTACTTTGCCAGTACAAAAAAAATGTTATCTTTTTATTAGATAATTTGTTACCTACATGTCAATAATAAAGTTCTTGTATTGTGATTGAATTAATAAAATAGTACTTGAACTAAATAAAACTTTATTTATATCTGCTAACTCTATATACATAATAAAAGTTGACTTCTACAGTAAACAAATTACTGTGATGTATCTTGCTGTGCCTGTAAAACTTTCTTGGGTGCACGCAAATCGTAATTCTCAAATTCTGGGTACATTTTAATTATTTCATTATATGCTTCACAAATTCTCGCAAATTCCATGTTGGCAATTTGGAAAGGCCTAGTCACAGGATCAATTTCAGCTAGCTTATACATTTTTAGAGCCATTTCCTCCCTAACTTTTTCTGGAAACAATGTCTGCGCTCCTCTAATAGAATACTTCTGTCTCATCGAAAATATTTGTCGAACAACTTTCTCAACCAATTTAAATGGTAATTTAATCAAAGGGTGCTTCAAAGGAGTCAAAGTGACCACTCCAACATCAACTTCAGGTTTTGGAAGAAATGCTGCTCCTGGAATATCAAATTTGTAATTGACATTGCACCAGTTTTGGCACATAACTGACAGTCGACATCTTTGTTTATCCAACATTCGAGCAGACATCCTCTCCGCAACTTCTTTCTGGAAGGTCAATGTCATCCGTGTACGGCCATAAGCCCAAGGTCCTTCTTTCTTAGAAATCATCTCTAACCAACGAATCATTAAAATTGTGGAAATGCTAAATGGCAAGTTCCCTATTAAATTAACTTGTGGAGGTGAATCATACCAATCTGTGGTCACATCTTTTGGTATGTAATGTGCAATATCTGTTTTCAAAATGTCACCCGTTATTATATCCACATCTACCCTATCTCTACAAGCGTCAGCTAGGAGTTCTAAAGATGGTACAAATCTTCGATCTTTCTCCACTAATATCAGTTTCCGTGGAGCTTGCCGAATTATCGAACGGGTTATACCACCAGGACCAGGACCCACTTCGCAAACCACATGGTTCTCTATATGCCCAGCTGCTCTCACGATTTTATCAATCAGCCTTGGTTCCATTAGAAAATTCTGCGACAATTCCCGAAGCGCACGCAGTTTGTATAACCTAATGATGTCTTTGATACTAGGCAATGGAGGCAACCTTAGTTGCGATACTTTGTGTGCTGTGGCCATTTCTATTGTTGTTGAACCTTTGCGGGTTCGTTGAAGTCGTCGAGAAAGGTTTCCTGCTTGACAGCAAAGATTGAATACAAATAAATACTGAATACTCCGGCACCAATAGCAAAACCAGTGATTCTATTCCTCTTGCTGATTTGCTGAAGCTTTTGTACTCGCTCGAGATTTTTCTGTTCAATTATTTTCATATAATCTAGCTCAGCCTTTTTCAGCACTGGGTCTTGGTTTCCTGTGTTAATTTTCGGTGTAAAAGATGAATCTCCCATTACGATGTTGTAAGGAATCTTCTCAAAATAGAGTTCAGTTTATTTTGCTAGGTAAGTGCAAGCAAATTGTAGGTTAGCCAGGGTTGCCAGAAGTGATTTTGTAATTTCCGTCACAGGAGATTAAACATGTTTACTATATCTATTTGGATATCATCAAAATTTAAAGGTTTGGTTTTGTACGTTTAAAATTCTATCAGTTAAGTTTTTTTGTAATTAAATTCCAGGTTATGTTCTGTGAGCCAGTGCATCGATTCATTGATCAATTAAATTGAGCATGGTTTGTTATTTGCTCTGTAATAGTAGGACTCCTAACTTTCATACCAGGTAATATCTGTATTATGAAGGGCAGGTTCGATTCGTGCCCGGGACAACGCACGGTTACAATCATGTATGACTGTGTGTGTTTATCTGGTGTGACATCATATTCACAGCATCAAAAATGTCATTAGGAGACTGCAGCGCTGATATCGTTTACGTCATACAAAAAAGGCATTTATTGCAATGTTCATTATTCAGCGTATCGTATATTTCTGGTACACCTCAATTCCACGTGACTTATTTTGTTATGTTTTGACACTAGTGTCACGCACTAGTGGAAATGAAAGAGTAGAGATTTCAGTACGAAGAAGCGTGGAAATGGACACTGGAGATTGCCACACTACAATAGGGTATTTGACAAGTTTTTTAATATTTATAGAGTTTATAAAAACTGGATATTAAAATTTATCAAATTGTTGTATATTTAAGTAAAAAAACTTAATTAAAAAAAATATAATTATGTTTTTATTTTTTAAGCATTCAACTGCTAGATGTATAAATCTTAAGAGAAGATTACTAGAAAAAAAAAAAGTTTCGGCGAAAACGTTTCTCTGGACATTATAGCATCTCACTAGTATATGACGCCTCACAGCTGTCATGAAAAGGTGAAACTCACTGCAACCGGAAGTTTACTAGAGTTTGATCATTTTAGTCTTCACCAATCCCAGGCAAACAAAAGCATAGAACAAAAACATTTCTATTTAATGATTTCGTAGAAAAGTTATCAATTATTTGTTCTCTCAAAAATGCCAACAATTTTTACTTAATTTTTCAGGATGTCAAATAGCCTATTATTATACCTAGGTCCACTTGCAGCAATTTTGCTAAATCTCAATTAAACGAAAACGAGATTCACCCTATAATAATGTCAAACTGACATTGACGTTTTGACATTTTGCTATGGGTTAAATCTAGTTCTAGTTGTATCGAGACTTAGCAAATTTGCTGCAAGTGGACTCTTGTTCCTAAGCAGAAACAAGTGACTCAAGCACATTATTAAACATAGATCTAACTCATCCATAGGTACGAGTAACTCGTCTATCCGTCTTTTTTTACTGGCCTTTACACTTATTTCACCTGAAAATCGCCAAATTTAATTTATTTCCGCCAACTGTTCCGCCAAAATAGTGGATTATGGCATCCCTTAATAGGGTATTTTTTATTCATTGGCATTTGGCATGGATTCCGTCAAATCACACAGCCAAACAACAGTGGAAAAGGGCAATTTGGAAAAGCAATTTGATATCTTTGGGGATATGATTTTTACGATTTATCAGATATTATTTATTACAAAAAATATTTCGGTCAGGGTTCCAGGTAGGACTAGAACCCAGCTATCCGGGTGGATGCACTAACCGCTATGCCAAATACTAAGTCTACGGTTACTACCTAGGATAGATAAAGGACGTCTATGCGCCCGAGCGCGGCAATTTCTTATGCCCTTATGCCGCACTTCACATGGCGTTATGTATTTCCTATTTGTAAATGTGACAACAGTCTCTAGTTTACACATGACAAATAGCAAATATAAATAGCTATGTGAAGTTCCGGCATTAGGCTGTAAGGCAGCAGCGCCATTTCTTCGCATTGTAGAAAAAATTCTAGTTGTACTTAAGTTAACCGTATTGCCGTATTATTATTTCGCTAGTGGGCAACAGCGGTAAAACATCCCAAAATAATAATGATATGCCGGCTCTACACTCGTGCCGTGAAGCTCCATGAACAGGCTTAAACGTGAATGTTCAGAGTCAGTTAGGAGTCGTCAATAATTCACAGCTGATGTGAATGCTTCATTTATTTTACGGAACTAGTGTGGAGCCCGCAGGAAATAAATAGGACTTTGCATTTTTTCTGCAGGTTGGTATCTTGTAAGAACGAGACAAAAGGCCTCTGTTCTGACATCTTACTGTGCCTAGGTTGACCCTAATTAAAGAGAACGTAAAACGTGTTTACAATACTATACTTTAGTTCTTGTTCTGAGGTCTCAAAAGGCAAAAAGTCTCCTTTAATCAAAATATAGGTACCTCTATCCCAGAAGTATTAATTTTTGCAATCAGCTGACGACCATATGATATACGCAGCTGTCTCTATTTTGTATATCTTACGCTATTTACTATCTCGCTTGCACTAGTTTATTTTTGTACTACGCGGACTCTGATCGGATCGCTTCGTTCATTTTCGTTTGTTGATGTTGTTGTGGCGCTGCGTTGCCGCTGCCTGCCTGCGCGTCAAACTCGAACAAAATAGTCCGTCAAACGACGATCCGCGTCGAAAACACTCGTTTGCGCGTTGAATGTACCACTGTCGTGTAAACTTTGTGTATTTGTGTTCTGAAAATGCCATTTATTTCAAAAGACTGGCGATCACCAGGCGAAGAGTGGGTGAAAACGCAAGAAGGCTGGGAAAAGAAGAAAGTATTGGAATGCACTTCTCAAAGGTGAGTCTTTATTACGGAATAATTTGATTCCTTTGTTCACTCACGAACAAACGCAACCAGTCAGTCCTCCTTTTTAACAATGAACTAACTTAACTTTTGCTACATTTTCGCTTCATTTATTACGTGTTACGCGTTTTTTTAACTGACATAATCGCTTGGTTTGTGTTTTGCATTACAGATATCCCGCATTAAATAATTTTAATAATTCGGCTGATAGTCAACAGAAGTCTTGGTGAGTGGTCTAAATGAACGTTTAAAACGTCCGCGATCAGCTGTTTTTGTTGTCGTACGTACGATGTTATTGATTTTTCTTCCGCTGTAGAATTTGACATAGTCTGATTTAGAAACATCCGTCTTTCTTTTTTTATGAGTGTAAATCCTTATTTACCATGATACCTGCTATCATAGTAGCCTTGTGTGTTATTAGTGAGTAAAATCACTGTTAAGTTAGAAATTTATTTTGCAATAACATAGATAGGTAGGTATACTAATATCTTCAAGCTATGTTTTTATTTTTTAAGCATTTAACTGCTAGATGTTTAAATCTAAAGAAAAGTTTTAATAGAAAAAAAAATCCACGCGGACCAGGCAGCAGACGGGACTATCTTCAACTTAATTTTATGAAGAAAAATAGGTTTATTATATTAGAAATTTCATATTCTTTTTATTTACTATTACAGTAAGTTCTGAATTTTCTGGGAGAGGTTCAATTAGTTTTGATAGAGTATATCACACATCAATATTTAGCACTGAACGACTTGTGTAATGGGATACTATAAAAACATATTTTATAGCAGAAATTTCAATGAACTTTAAAAACCGAGGTACTAATGAATATTAATTAATTATTAATACTTTGTCCCTAATGGGATTGAAACCCAGTTACCTTGAAAAGTGATGTACTACCACTACCATAATTTGATTTTTTAAATTGTAATTAAGAAGCAACACTGTATAGTGCAGGTACTTATGCATGGCTGTGTGATTAGTTTTTGTACTCTCTTCTATTTTACCAAATAAAATTATGTAAAGATAAGTTTTGTGATCCATAGACTGTACCGACAAGAGCATAGCTCTTAAATTTGGAGAGAGAGAAGTTTTATGACTACAATAAAAGAAACAAGAAAATTATCTTCTTCGTCTTTCTTAAGTCTGGTTTTCTCTTCAATTTGAAATGGGACAAATTGATCCTTTTTTATTATTTATCTTAGACAAGTAAAGGTATTTAATGTCCTTTTTTTATTGAATTTCACATTACTATAAATAAAGAAATAATACATTTCAACAGTGCTACAAAAACTTGTTTAGGTTTTACCGAGCACTGGGATTTGTCATCTCTTAGATCATTTTCCATTATAATCTTTGATACTGACTTTCGTAGTTGAATGCTAGAATCAGGTTGTACATAGAATTTAATATAGTAAGATGATATCGGACGGCCTGGTCCGCGTGGATTTTTTTCTAGTAAACTTTTCTTTAGATTTAAACATCTAGCAGTTAAATGCTTAAAAAATAAATAAAATCATGATATTGAGTTGTTGATATGGTACCTTTGTTGCATTGAAGCATTGTGTACTGTCTTTGCACCTCTAGACCATTCTCACCCAACCTAAGGACTCCTTTAACTTTAATATTCTAGGTATGAATTAAATTAAATAGGGAAAACAAGGAGAAAACAACAGCCCTTACTAAATTTCCTGTATCCTTCGGTCACCTGCTAATGTTTCTCTGTGTATGTACTGTGTACTCTATATACAGTGCCGTCTTTGACCTATTGGAGGCCCTGGGCATATTAGGATAATGGGGCCCCTATGACCCCCCTTTGGTGGTCTAACAGGAACTAGGGACTTTGTATTTGTGATCTGAGGTGGGCCCCCAACGATCGTGGGGCCCTGGGCACTCGCCCAAAGTGCCCACTGAAAGACGGGTCTGTCTATATAGTACAAAGTCTTCTATCCGTGCAGAAACATACCTAACTAGTAGAGTATGCTACTTACTTTCACATACTGTTGAAATTAAATAAACTGGGCGAAAGATTTATTGTGCCTTTTCATAGTTTGAGAAAATTCAAGACCTTTTTTGACTTTCATTTTTTTTATAATAGTTTATAAATAATTAATAAAAAAAACATATTTAAATCCAATGCAGGTGTCGTACTGAGAACAATTAGCGCGTATAAGATCCTACTTGTTATTCTAAAAGCATTTATAATAATTATACCTACCTGTCCCTCTTGGTCTGAATCAATAGTACACCTGTGGTGCGATTGAGTGATATGGTAGCTAGGAGGAGGAGCTTGATGGCGCAAGTGGTTTAGCGCGTTCTATCTGCGATTTTGGAAGTTAGTAACTTTCTAAATGGCTGGTCATCGGATGGGTGACCAAATATTTAGTATCTTGAGCTCCTTTGAGCTTTAAAATTCATGTTAGGCCTTTTGTCCTAGCTGCACCTTTAGTCGTTAGCACCCACCAACTTGTACTGGGGCCTTGTGGTGGGTCAGAGCCTCTTCTGACCTACTCCATCTACAGGGAAAGCCTGTGTCCCAGCAGTATAGTAAGTCCTATATAAAGCCCGGGACAGCATAATGTATATCTGTTAAGGGTGCCGCATTAATTTGAGAACAAAGGTGTGATATACAGAAGAATGTGTACTTTCATAATATCATTGAGTTAATACAAAATTTACCGGAAGGTATTTCATTAACTTTCACGGTTTCGTATTTTAATATTCTGCCAAACACCCGAGAAACATCTGTTGATATATAAATAAATTATATATGTATTGCATTTGTTTGTTTTGTACTCGCGTCACACTCACGTAAAAGTAAATCAAGAGGTATTTAATAAAGTACATATTTTTCTTTCACTCATGAGGCTGAGTGTATTTATGAACCCAAACTTGAGTCAGTGTACGGAAAGTCCTGACAGGAAGTTTAAAACGCCGTCCACTCTCCGTCACCAATGTAGGTCTATATTTAAGCGCATTCCTTTTTACTTATTTTGGCTCTTAACAAAAACATTAGTGAGTTAAATGCTTTTAAGCATTGAACTGCTTCATTTATATCTAAATAGTTTCGCATACAAACTTTGAACCCCTGTTTTGCCCCCTTCATCATCATCAGCCTATTAATGTCCCCACTGCTGAGGCACAGGCCTTCCCTATGGATGGAATAGGAAGATTGGGCCATGCGCCCACCACGCGGGCCCAGTGCGGATTAGCGGGTGCTAACGACTGCAAATGCAGCCGGAACCAACGGCATAACGTGCCTTCCGAAGCACGGAGGAACTCAAGATAGAAGCTTTTTGGTCACCCATCCAATGACCGACCACTGCGAAAGTTGCTTAACTTCAACGATCGCGCTAACCACCCGCGCCATCGAGTTCCTCTTAAGGTGTGAGTTTTGGAAAATCCTTTCTGCTGTGCTTTGATAGATCATTCATTCAGTAACTATTGCCTTTTATATAAACAAACTATCACCGATCAGATAATTGAGCGCCTTAAGGCACGGTCCGTTCGTACATAAATCTTTCGCTTTATTCACATTTTCTATTAAATATCTAAAAAACGAGCGAGCATTACAGTAGTCGCGTATGATGTGTAACATTTGAAACCTCACCTTATATTAGTAAAAAAAGAAATAAAACCTACTACAAAAGGAATAAGCCATTTGAACATTATGTTCTAAAATCAAATCAAATTCTGACTTCCTGTTACACACTTCCGTCCCATTTCACGAAAACACTCCGACAAATTGCAGGAAAGCGAGAGGAAAGATGTTACACGTCAATAAAATACTTGAAAAAATAAAGTATTACAATGTATTACACTTTTTGTTTCTTATGAATATCGTCTACGGTTTGTGGTATTTATTCCCAAGTGGTCCGAGACATCGTGTCCGTGAGCGGTGTATATATGTAGCTGTGTTACTCAAGCGCATTTTCTATGTAGATTGCCTTCTGTACTATATATTTTGTGTTCCAGGACAAAAAAACAGCATAAATGATATCTACTTCATAAATTTAGATTTGATCTAATAATTAAACTAAGGTAATAGTTTTATCCTGTCAAACTTTTACTATCTGCCTGGGCAACTTAGCAGCTGACGTTTCCTCAGTTTTAGACGTAATAACCTTATCAGACGACGAAAGTTTCCGATCCTATCATCAACTTGATTTTTTATTATTATCACAGGTCACATATTAGTAATTCTGTACCTAGCAATTTTAACTCGTCACATTGCAAATTAATTCAATTTTTAGAATGTGTTAATATTTACTTTAATTTGTTACATTAAACTAATATGCAATCAATACGTCTGAAACGGAGAGCTAGTGAGATGGAATATGAAGGCTAGGATTTAGGACGCAATGGGTTTATTAACACGATTTTATAGTAAAACACAAAATAATATTATATCAGATGACAGGCAAGGACTATGACACACAATAAAAATTTTGATAGCTAAAATCATAAAAATGTTAATACTTTAAAAACACTTCAAAAAACCATAAAAACTAAATCTATAAAAGAGGTCGGCAACAATGTCTGATTTTACAACAATCCTAATAGGTAACCTTACGTAAAACCGAATTCGAATTTAATTTCATTGGAGTTTCGTTATTTTCATTCAAATAACGAAACTCCAATGTTCGTTTCAAGATTAAAAACAAATTGCGTTAACTTACATAACGAACGTTCGTTTTTCAAATATCTAACAAGAATTTAAGACTGCAAATATTACGTTAAACCTTCATGCACACGCTATGCCGCATCCACCGAAATGCATTACTGCATATTTGTGCCGATGTTGCAGTTCATTGACTTCAATCCAACTCTACTCAATAAGTATTGAGCCGAAATTAGTGTTCGTCGAAACGAAATCATTGCATTGCAATGAGACGTCTCAATTTATGAAAGTTATTTGCTAAAGATTATAGTACCTAATTATGATTCTTTTGAGATTATGACTAATTAATTACATGAGCCTTGAATTAAATGGAATTAAGTAAGCAACAGCACAAACCACTTAACAAATTATCGCTGCACTCAGTTTTAGACTTTATATAATTTGATTTTAATGCTTCACAATCATACGCGTTTTCAAGATTTATTACCAAATATTACCAACACTCACACCAATTAGCCTAGCCCCCAAAGTAAGCACTGTAAGGCTTGTGTTATGGAATACTAGGGTAACGGATAAAATACATATATTGTACATATATAAGTATA